CAGGTTATTGTAGGCTCGCTTTGTCACATATCCTACTTTTCCCCTCATATTACGACTTCTATATAGCTTGAATACAACCCTTTGTTCCTGTTTCTGTTTTGTGAACACAAGTCGGCCATTCTTGACCATCATTTCTGTCCGGTTTATGTAAATGATCTACAAAGAAACCTATTAATAATTGCATTCAACAGGAAATATTGCAAATAATGATGTAGCTGTTTCAAGATTTGATTAATACGGTATTTACTCCTAAGCAAGTAGCATTTTAGCAGCTTAAAAGTAAAAAGTAGGTGCCCGAGCAATGCTCTCAATTCATAGACAAAATACCTTAAACATTCCACCTACCATAATTCGCTGAAGATAATATCTAAAAGCTATTGTTATTGTTGCAGTGGTAGAAATTATTATTAGAGTTAGATTCAGTTTCCAACCCTGTGGACTGGATTACCCTATCTCAATGTGTTGCCTTGTGGTTTAAACTTTTGTCACTGTGTCCCCACAGATCATCCATGTAGTATGCATTATACACCATAAAATCCACAACTAGGATTATTATATTTTCCTCCGGTGAGGCTAGAGAAGGGACGACTAGGCAAAACAGAACTACCTCATTAACATTTGATTCCTTGGAATTCGTACATTGTCAAATCTTAGAACTCCATTATCCATGGTATTATATGCTCCATTGCCAAATTTCATTCCAATATCACCAATAGTTATGCCTGGAAGGGGTAAGTGATCATCCAAGCTCCGCAGCTGGACAATGAAACCTTCAATTTGGACATATAGTTAATTAATTTATGTCGGGATCTAACACTGTAAATTTGAATGATTAGATTTGGTAATTACCATGCACTCCATGGTCTTGACCATCAGTAATTAGACGGGCATAAACAACAGCATGCGTAGATACTTTACCCAATCCACCAGGCCACCACTGTTTAAATCAGCATCAAAAGAGTGACAATAATATCCAAATACCCTTTATAACAAGTACACACGGTGAATGTGAAAGAAAGGTACAACTGCTTCCCCTGATTGTACTTGTTTGTGCACTCAGTAATATTGTAAGATTCTACAATCTCAAATGGTAAAATATATAGTAATAGACCAGTAAAGGCTCTTTGGAGTTTGGAGTCATCAACCATTTTACTCACTTTGCTGGAAGTCAATGTGGGACTGTGAATAACAAACTCGTCTGTTTTGGGGTCAAATGTTGCAGTTGTTTCTAGCCCTTGAACATTGGATCCATGACCAAGTTCAGTTTGGGCATAGCAACCAATTATTTGCACCTTATAAGCTAGAGCCAACCACTTTTGCTGCTGCTCGTCGGTGCCTTGTCCTTTGATAGCAGGCACGAACATTCCCTGCAAAAGAATATTTCATGCCGAGTGAAAATACTAAGTCAATGTTTATTCCTTTGATCTAATACACACAAACATATTATATTCCTTTGAAATTCTTAAGCTAGCATTGCACGCAGAGGATATAGTTCCACATAGCTAAGTAAAACAAGGAAAATAAAAATGCAACCAGGACAAAAATTGAATTATACCCAATGAAGATCCGTAAAAGAAGGTTCATCCACAAAGGATCTTAGCATAGAAGCTTCCTCCTCTGCAAGAATGCAACTTACAAAATTATAAAGAATGATAAACGCTAATGTAAAAGGCAACTAATTGTGTCCCGTAGAAGAAAAATAACAAGATAAGAAACCAAATGCAAATTACACTAAAAGAACAGAAGACACACACCGTTAAGACGAAGCTCGATGATCCTTTTCCATGCGTAAGCTGCTTTCCTCAAAGTGTTCTTAAACAACTCCTTTCTATCAAGCATGGTCCTATTATCCTTGCTGAATGCCTAGAAATCACAGACAACCAATCAAGGTTTGTTCAAAGGAAAAAGTGATAATTGAAATTTAGCACATAGATATTCTAAAACAAAAAGGTAAAAGCATGATTACTTTAAGCTTTGTGTGACATATCCGACAGAAGGAAACAAAAGTTTAATTCATATTTGAACATTTAGATTTTGAACTAGTAAGTAGTAAACTGAGGGAGCACGAGCATCACAAAAGCATGAACCAGATTTGCAGACATGTTAAGTAGAAGCATCTTGAGAGTGAATAACCAAAATTGAAGAAGGAAAGAAGAGGGAATTAACCGGATCACTGGCAACAAGGCGTGAAATACGGTCGGAAAGCTCAAAGGCATGACGAGAACCGGCCCAAACGATCTTCATCTCGTCGACATCGAACTGCGCCTTGTTCCTCTCGTGAGCCAAGTGATCAACGCCTTCCATTTTCGACCTTCTGAATTCTGATTTCCAACCCCCCCAACGTTTTTCGCTTTGGTCTCAACTTCGAAGATTGAAGGAGAATGAAGACTGTGTTCTGTCTTTTTAAAAACACCCAATGGTAGTGCCGAGTGGTGACAGCACTTAACGCATATTCCTCATTTGTTTTATGTTTTCAACGTGAGGAAAGAAAAGAAAAGAAACTCTTGATAATGTAACGTGGGACGCTTTTTCCAAAGCTTTCCTTTGTCAGACAAAACATTTTGTGCTAGAATTGGAAGTGGACGTTTACTTCTTCCTTTTTCTTATTATTTTTCTATTTTCATTTTTGGATAATCTATCCTCCACGTATATATCCTTTTCGAGAGCCGAGAATATTTATATTTATAATAAAATTATCTTTTAAAAAAAATTACATTCATAAAAACTTAAATCCAAGACTTGTTTAAGCAGGATGTAGTGTCCACTATTGAACCAATCATTTAGAAATATGTACTTTAAAATGATCATGACGGGGGAAAATCTTAACTATTAATAATTAAATTAACGATTATGATTGTATAACTTTCTATCCTTATTTTTTTTCTCTCTCTTTCCTTATCACCACTAACTCACTTATGTATGATTATGATTGCCCCACATGATATGATCATGTCAATTAGCACATGAAAAGATTCACTCCTCGATCATTTTGATAAAATAAAAATTTCAATTTTCCACACGTGGTACGTTGTCGGTGTTTTTCTGCCCATATTCATTTCTCAGTTATATATATATATATATATATATATATATATATATATATATATATATATATATATTAAATTGATTTAAATCGGTTCTAGCACTTAAAACTCATATTGGGAGCTATTCTTGGTTAATATTATTTTTTTATTAGGACTTAAACTCGAAATTTATGAGGAAAAAAAATTACACCATTTAGAATCAATCATTCTTGGTTCTTTCCTTTATGCAATTTATTAGTCAATCTTGCATGCGTTTCTGAGCCTGTTTATTTCTGGGTATGTTCATTGCAAAAAAATAAAAATGGCGTGCTATTATGATGTATTCAGTATTATATACTACTTATATTCAAATAAATATTTATTGTTAGTCAATTATTTTCAGGTCTTTAAGCAATCCACTAATTGGGTATGATCATTGTTTTTATTTTTTGGATACAGTATGATCACTGTTGAATCCACCAATAACTGGAAGAACAAAAAAAAAAATGTCTATTAAATCTACACATCAGTGAAAGCAACGAGCACAATGAGGCAAATAACGGCTGTCTTAGGTTGAAATTGATTTTTTATTTACAGAAGTGCGAAACACTTTCCGTCTTTCTAGCTTTAGAATCAGAGACTCATGTTTCCCAAAAAAAAAAAAAAAGAATTCAGAGATTCAAAGTTGTTCGGGATTTAATTGACCAAGTCAAGTCCATTCGCAACGCATCATCTAGTTAAGATCATCCTATCATGTGAGAGAATCATAATTATTCATGAATAAATCAATAATAGAAATTGTCATTTCCTATTTTAATCTCTCATTCTTTATCACCAGTGGCGAATCCAGCATGGCAGGTTAGCAAGTACCAAAAACTTCAGCTAGTGCCCAAATAGCTACGATTCTATGGCCACGATCAAAACGTGACTAATTTTTAAAAAAATTAAAACAGAATTTGCTATATTTCAAGTGTAACTAAATGAAAGTGGCTAACTAAGCCAGTGCCAAGGCAACTGTTGACTCTAACATGGCTCCGCCACTGATTATTACCATTGATTTATTCATAAATAATTAAGATACTCATGTTGACATATTCACTAATACATTAGAGCAACCATTCCCATGTCAATTTGTCATCTGCTTGTCCTTGATTTTTGTCCAGCCATTTTTAGCATCTTTGATTTGATAATTGATTCTAACTAAGTTTTTTAAAAATGTTAGTTGCACGTATAAAAATTTTCACATGCTTAAAATATGTTAGAGAGCAAGTGACTATTGAAATAGTAAGCTAATTTTTTTTTAAGCTTAATATATATGATATATCTGAAAAATTTTATCCATGCAATTAATATATATCTTTTTTTAAAAGAGCATCATTTATTTATTTTTTAACTTGGCATAAAAAAAAAAAATCATGACTTTGCTCCTGGTTGAGGGAAAGATTGAAAAACACGCACGGCCATATCTAGAGTTGCTATTTTGAAAAGATTCTATCCAAAAATTACTTTGGCTCGAGGGATTAGCTTCACAGTTATGTTTGTAAGAATACCTCAAGACAAAAGAAAAAAAAAAAAAGGAGACAACCATAAAGAAAGACATAGCAATCAAATGACTACTTATTGAAGTTATCAAACTATAGAAAGTGGAATGATACCCTTCACTATGCATGAATGCATTACTGAAAAGGTTCCGCCAAATGATACCTAAAAGGCAGAATAGAGCAAGAGTCAAGTAAAAGGCATAAAAACCTCAGGGTGTATGGATCCAAGGTCTTGCTTTTCACGAACAAAGCATGGAATTATTATAAAAACCTATGATAGTTACGCAATTAGGGAAAACAAGTTTATTATGTACTACGGAACTAATTTACAATAAGCAAGGAAAAAAGAAACAACAACAAAAATATTGAAATAAAAAGGAAGCCTCATTACACAGCAGCCATTTGCTTGTTGGATTAGTATATACTTACTAGCCATTTGTTTGCTATATTAGAGACTAAACACAACTTAGTATATTGTCATCCTGCAAAATCAATTTTACATAACCCTGAGAACTAAAATAACTGAACAAACATAAAGTTTTAGTTTAGACCCAAGTAACTCCTACATGCTGCCTACTAGCATCAGAGAATAACTAAACTAATGACTGTAAAAGGGAAAAGGAAAAATTATTTATCCCACAAGATATATGATGAACACATGATCACATTTATGATTACTATATTGATAGATATGCTTACAGGACAGTCCATTACATGGCACAAGGGGCCCTTAAACTGCATGGATTGCACTGTCATTCATGTTTGAACTAGTGCATGCTGGAGTTGCATGAAAAGCTGACTGTCTAGAAGGTCCTTCAAGGAGTTTTACGGACAGAGAGGAGGGGCCAGAATCACCAATAGAGTCTCCTAAACTCAGTTTTGACATGCCAACCAGTTCATCAACATTGATTGGGCTTTTAGAATGTACAGCAGTTGGCTTCAGCACTTCATGTGTCTCCCTCTTAGTAGGCTCTGGACTGTGTCCTGACCAATAGGGCAGAGGAAATGGGAAGAAAGGAGAATAATATGAATGATATAGCGCTGGGTATGATGATTGTGAGCTATCTGGCTTCAGTGAGGCAGATTCCCCATCATTTGAGTTTGTGGAATCCATGGATTCGCACTCTTCATCAAGGGCTGGAGGAGCATGCAAGGGGCTATTGCCTTCTGTTTCAGCCTGTAGCTGATTAACTGGCAAGAAGTCTTGCTGTACCATTGGCGTGTCGGCTGACTGCAATATCAGCAAAAAATATAAGAAATCTAGAAAAACGAGAAGGTGCCAAAAAATGGGTGAGGGCAGAAGCTGTTTATTTCTAATAATTGATGCGGAAAAAAAAGCTTAACATGAGAAAATGTAATGTTTATCTCCAAACTACCCTAGAACAGAAGAACCGTATAATTGGTAAAAAAATCTAAGCAAAATGATCAAAATGTAAAGTAAGGCAATCAAAATCCCAAATTGTCTAATCCTCTGCAGAAGGACTGGACATTTTTCACAAATTACAAATGACCTTCAATGAAGTATGCAGGAGATTGAATTATTAATTACAGAAGCTAAAACAGGTCAGGCAATATATTTAAAGAAGGAAACGCATTCAGATGATCTTATCCATGGTCTTGGAACAGATTATGTGGCATCAATCTCATATATGCATCTTGATGCAAGAGAACACATAAATTTAATGTACAGCATTTGCAAGTAAGGGTACAAACTTCATCTGCAACAATATCAAACAAACTAGAACGTCTTCTCCGTCTAGACACATTGCTTTGCCTGATGAAATATTTTTGAGCATGACTGGCCACTTGCGTTGGTGTCCTTGATACAACATAATTCCGTGCAATTCCACGCCAATCACCTTTGCCAAGCTTCTGCAATCCAAGTAAAAACATTCTATGTTCCTCCTCAGTCCACGGGACACCTGCATATAAAAATATCAATTTAACCCCAAAAAAAGAAATGCCAAATCAAAGGTTTGCTTTGCTCAACCGCAAATGGATAAATGAAGTGAAGATATTCAGCAAGTCATCATTTAAGATCAGTAAGCTTCAGGTGAACTAAGTATAATGTGAAAACTAAGAAATCATGACTAAAAATTGCAAAACCAGCTAATGATTGCTGCATTGTCAACCCCAGCAACGAACCTGGATCTTACACACATGCTCCACCTTCAAGAACATGGCTGGAAAATGGAATTACAAAATCAAAATTGACCGGGTGCATCCTTGATTAACCAGCAAATCATTTACAAGAATAACATAGACTCAAGAACTAAAATTTGTACAGGCCTTGCAATGTACAGACTTAAGCACACTACATACAGAGCATGCTCCCAACTAGAAATGCAAAGTAAGTAAATTGAAATTAAGCATCATGACTTTGCTTTTCTCTTGGTAAGTAATTCATTAGTTTCCCCAACGAGAAGGGTCCTCGAATATCCTCTCTTTTCAGTTTCCAATGGGTCAGGTTAGAGAAAACTTGGGAACAGACTCATTTCTAATGCAAGATGATTTTTGGAACCTTCCGTGAGCTATATGAGCAACCTCTTTTGAAAGCACATTACATGAGATAGGTAAATATCTATCAATTTCATAGGCTGATACCCAACATAGCTCCAATTTAAAATTACGCAATTTCACTCAAAAAAAACAAGCTCTAATAAAGTTAAGCAGCAACTTTCTGGTTAGTTATTTCCACACCGATACCATCAAAGCAAAGACTAATTAACTTATCAAAATACTGTCTTTCCACAAGCAACTTTTAAAACATGGATTATGGGGTCATAATCACGTAATCAATAGCAACGAGTGTAAAAGGGTACTTCAAAATCAAAGTCCAAAACTTTGCATGCAATATGAATAATACTATTCAAGTAAAAGGAAAAGCTTTTTTTTTTTTCTTTGGGTTTGGATGAAGAATCGAACCCTTCTTTCGTTCGCGAGAGGTTGAAGAGGAGCCAGGAACAAAGTCTTCTGAGGCGTAACCATCGGCGGCAGCGTGATCGGGAGTGTCATCGGGAGAACCCGGATGGTGAGCCCCGGAAGCTGAACCCGACCCGGAATAGTGGCTGAGATTGCCCATGCTAGCACTCTTCCGGATCGACCCATCGGTTAATCGGACCCCGAAGAGCTTGACTCCGCGGTTGGGGCAGGTCCTGGAATTATGGCCATTGTGGCTGCAATGCGAGCATCGCCGGGTCATGGTGTCGGAAAAAGCTGAAACCAGATCGAACAGGAGCGAGATTCTTCAAACGGGTCAAGTGGATCCGAATCACGTGATCCGAGACATGAACAAGAAGGTTTTTTTTTTTTTTTTTTTGTTTTCGGGTCTCCGTTGGGGGCTTTCGCCGAAAGACAGAGAAGGTGAACAACACAACAAGTACACAACAGCACTAAAACTTTATCCTGTTCCAGACAAAGGGGAATAATAGTGTACTTCGCGGCAATTTCAGAGTCATGGTCCTTTGAAGTTTGAGTCTTCCTGGTCTCTTCTAAATTCTAAGTTGCTTGTCCCTTACGTTTTTGTCACCCGTATTTTTCAGCGTGTTTGCAACTTTATTATTTATCAGCGAATCTTTCTTTAATAATAAATAAAGAAATGTACGAAGAGAAGCATGGTCCATAATATAATAAAAAAAGGTAAAACATTTTCCAGATACATCGTATTTGTTTGATAAATTAGTATTCATGGCTTCATGCTGGTATTTTCCTTATAGTTATTTATCTCTGGGCCAGTATGAGAAGATAACTTGTACGATGCCACATGCAGATTTTATTTTCTCCACTACTAGCTTAAAGTTTTTTTTTTCCCGTCACTCCCTAGTCCCTACCAGCTTGATAATAATATTGTTATGTTTGGATTTTTTTTTTTTATTCATTCCGATTAATTCGGTTCGACTACAATTTAACACGAGGCTATAGTAGTTAAAATTTCAATTTAAATTTATTTTTTTATGATTTTATGATTTTTTTTTTTTAGAGTTAAACTACGGTCCTGTTACATCAAAACCACAAATTTGTCCAGCTGATACATTGATTTTTGTGCTTTCTTTTTCTTATTTTTTTTTTTTGAAAAACACGTGTGCCCGTCAGTTGTTTTGTGTCAACTCGAAATATTTATGTTTTCCAGTAACATAACCCTAGTTTTTCCTTTTTTTTTAATCAAAATGATTTTATCAAAATTCTAAGATTTTTTTACGATTTTTTTATGTTAGAATTTTACGTTTTATGATTTTTTTTATCCTCCTTTCGATTTTAGGTAAAATTCTGATTTTAACTAGCATGCACAGGACTATTTTTTTAAAATTAATTTTTTTTTCCGAGTTTAAATTTAAAATTTTTAATTGAGAAAAATAAACTCTTTACCATTAATTGTTGTTGGTTATGTTTGGTTGTTTCTAATTGAATGAAAAGAAAGGAATACAAATAGGATACCAAAATAAAAATAAAAGAAAGGAATAAAAAAAAGGAAAGAAAATTGAATGAAGAGTGAAATATTTTCTAATTTTTTTATGTTTAAGTAAAGAAAGAGAAGAATAAGAGTTATTTTTATTTTTTTTATTTATAATAAAACTCTTTTCCCGTCTTACCCCATATTTTGAGTGAAAAAATAGCCTATACGTCATCATGTAATTATTATTATTATTAGTTCAGAAGAATTAACCATCTATATATATATATATATATATAGAGAAAAAAAACCATCTCAGATGTTTGAACTTTGAGGAGCTCCTTATGAAGGTTATTAATAAACCACTTGTGTATTTTATTTTATTTAAATTTAAATACTAATAAAGATTATTGAAATACTTACTTTATAAAATAAGCTTTGTCTATTATAAAAAATACTGATTATAACCATGTCCTACGTTAGTAGGTCAATTGGCAAGAGCTCTAACCTGTAGATTTCTTTGGTCTTACTTCTCCATTTCCTAATACTCATTCCTTCCCAGAACTCTACTAGGGAGCTAGTGAGGAGAGGCCATATGTCAAACTCATAATTTAAGTCCTAAACCTTTAAAAAAAAGAGTTATGAAATCCAAAAATAGTCCCATGGTTATAATTTAAAAGAAAATTAAGATAAACTTCTGTTCAATATTTAATGCATACATAAGATCATTTTCTTGTATTGTATGGACTATTTATAAAAAACGATACACAATTAAATTTGACAAAAATATATTGCAACGTATATAATGGTGTAGATTCATGTTTGAACTTACCCATGTTGAGTAATACTCATGGACAATGGCAAAAACAGGATATTCTAGATTTGTAGTACAAAATAATCTAAGGCTCTATTTTGCTTTTTGTTTAATTGAATTGATTAAAGAAAAAATCGATGTTAAAAAGCTATTTTAAAAAAAAAAACTGAATGATAAATAAATTTTGTATTTCTAATTCATATTTAAACATTACTTTAAAATAATTTATTTTATTTTACTAATAATATACGATAAATTCACTATTTAATATAAAAATACTATTAAAAAAAAAGATACACATCTGATTCATTTTCCAACATTATCGAGGACGGCAAACTCACAATCCCCATACTTAAGATCATCAGAAATGGAAGACAATGTAGGGAAGGTAGTTTTGTAAGCATAAATGGGTGAATTAACGGGAACAAGATCATCACAAGCACTATATACAAAAAAAAAGATCATCACAAGCACCTTCCATGTGCCGCCAAAAGAATCAATTATGAAAAATTATTAATGCTACATACTTAAGATAAAAGTCATAATTTAAAAAAATTAAGAGTCGTGTTAGATGAAATAAAATAGTAAGGATCTTGTTTACCAAAAAAAAAAAATAGTAAGGATCTCTCATTCATTATGAAGTCAATAAACATAACACTTCATTTTACACAAAACTTTGACTCTCTTACATTTTTCTAAAATTAATTTCTGTCATCGACTATATTTTTTTTTTATAACATGTCATCGACTATTTAGGTAAGCCAAACATGAGGTTACAGTATGAAAATTGCATTTGAGTTCTGATAATTTTTCTCAACACCACCAGTAAATTAAACATGTACTAAATACAATTTTTTGTATTATCTTGTTCAAAATCTAAATAAATAATGATTTACTTCATTTGAATCTTTTTCATTTAAAAATCTCAGTTTTGTTTTTCAAAGTCAAGTTCAAAATATAAACATAAATTACTTTTCTTGCATCCTGGAGATTGGGGAACCGGGCATGTTAATTGTTAGCTATAAGGATATAAGGCCCAACTGAGGAGGAGGAGATAAATTTAAATAATTTTAACATTTTCAATTAACTTTAATCTAAAAAAATTTATGCACTTCAGTTTAGTTATTAAATAAATACTTTAGCAATAAGAAAAAGAAAACGATTAAATATATTTTGAAAATATATGGACCAATTTTTATTTTTTACTTCTCCAAGTTTTAATTTGTATAATTCCAATTTCCTTATAATTTATATACCAATTCAATGAGTCATATAGGTAAATTTTTTGTTAAAAAGCGATATACAAAAACAATAAGCAAGAATCCTTTTCCTTTTTGCAACTTCGTCTCATAAGATTTCAATAAAAAAATAAGACCAGGAACAAGGCCCTAAGTACATAAGAATATCCCGAAAGCCTGAGTAATTCACTAATTCATACATTTCTCCTTACCAAGAAATAAAAATGAATAGCAAAAATAAACATCGCACTGTTTTCTCAACTCATCATGCTAACGAGCTCAACTTCATTCTAAAGTAGCTGTTACAATGGGTATCATATAATCATTATCAAATTTTTGGTGTCAAAAAGACCAAACCTTTTTTATTTAATCGGTTCATAATAGAACAATCTTTCCTGCATTCCACATGAAATGGTCTGAATTTGGTAGCCCATAGTAACACTGCAACTTGGAGAACGCAAAATAGCTAAACCAATATCATGCATTGTACGCAACGGAATGTAATTGTACCACAAAAGACTGAAAGAATATGACCATTTGGGATGAATGAGTTAAAAAGCCACCTCGTAATATGAAGACCAAAACCAATAACTGATTACAAAATTTTGTGAACTCAACCTTCCATACATTCATAATAGAGAATATCGATACATCACCTACTTGAACGGAACGGTAAGATACCCACACAGCTTTGAATTGTTTTGAATGAATCGTTCTCCAAAACTATAATAACTCGAAGAAACATTAAAGGAAAAGGGTAAGAAAATGCACCTTTAAAATTAACATTTCCTTCACTGAATATTAGCTGCACAACCGAGGCCAGCGTGAATGCATAAGAAAAAAACCCGAAGTTCCAAAAAGGAACAGCTCTTATCCTATAAACAACTCTGTTTTACTTGTGCCCTTTCCTGTATCTTCCCATAAAATTTCCAGAATCTTTTTACCAAAAAAAAGCTGTATTTTCATCTCTTGGCAACTCTGCTTCGTCTAGTTGTCCTAGATGGAGTTGCATAATAAGCAATATCCATAGCCCTTTCCAGACCTTGCTCTTCTTCCCCATCACTAGTTTCATCAGATCTCCATCTTGGTGCACCATTGATATTTTCTTCAGTATTTAACTTCTCCATATGGCTAAAGAAATGAAATACACAAAAATATTCAGTCTACATAAATATGAAACCCTTCTCGGTGAATATTAAAAACATTAGATTAACGCACACAGACATATTATACATGAAAATTATACAAAACAAGTAATATCAATAAAAGAAAAGCAATGGGCAAAAAAAGAAACAGGTAACTATATTCTTACCTCCGAGAAACATCCATTGGATCATCAGTGGACCCTATATTCCAACTTACACCATCTTTATGTGATTGGACATTCCAGCTAGACATATTTGGAAAGTCATTCGCAAATTCTTTTGGATAGCTGAGTGTAGATCTAGTAGCAGGATTAGCCGTAGCTTTCGAGGAGTACATAGGACTGGTAATTTGATTATGGCCAAAAAGCAGTTTCCGTTCAACTCCTGGCGAGATTTTATCTGGCACATTTTCCTGAAAATTGCTTGGTGATTTTCTGTTATATCCCTTCAGAGGTGAACCATTCATGAAACGGATCCTATGACTCCTTGGAGTTGGTGTGTTATCATATCTAAGAATTTTGCCAATTTTACCTTGATGATTTGGAACCGCCTCATTATTAGTAAATAACCCCTCATGACGAATTGATGGGGAACCGTAAGTACCAAGCTCAGGGCCAGTAGTGGGGAAAGGCATGCTTATTTTGGTTGAAGTTCCTAAAGTTGATGAATTTAACAAACCAGTCGTTTGATCTCTATGCAGCATGAGGGAAGAATTTGCAGATGAAGGAATCAATAAACTGGTTGACCTGGAATCCGGAAACTGAGGAACATCAAATTTATCAGGAATTTCAACTTCTTGAGAAATAACAGCACCCTCAGTCCAGTTTCCGCTCCTCAGTTGTTGCTGCTCAACTTCTGGCATCAACTCCAAGCATCTATTCTGTTTTATTCAAACATAAAACCATTTCACAAACTTGATCTAAGACTATGCTGAATCTACAAAAGTTTCTAAAGGTATAACTCCAACAATAAAAGAGCAAACCACAATGCAAAAAAGCTCCCCAGATAGGGGTGATGACGCACACAAAATTAATTTGAAATATCATGCATATCACAAAATAAATTCTTGCTACATCTAGACATCTAGACATCCTGCATGCTTCGGTGGTTTCAGCAGATCTGGAAGTTCTTGTTTTGGCTCACACAATTTACATCTTCTGGTAAATTGCTAAATCAAATCTTGATTCTTGACAAAATTTATTGTTTATTTTGTCTAATTAATTTTCTTTGCAATGAAATTCTAATACAGCAAGAATCAAAAGGGACCAAACTCAGGGACAGACACCATGTACAACAAGATCGGCCATCCATAATGTCTCGTGCAATGATATTTTTGAAGTATTTCCTCAGTTTTCCTTTCATACATTTCTATTTTTTTTTTTTAAAGAAAGTCACTTGGATGTTCTCTATATAAAAATTATTATATCGAAAAAAATCCACACCTGCTAAACATCTACCAATTGGAACCTCCTCTACTTTAGAGACAGTTTATCCAAACATGATAATAAAAGTCAACTCCAATTTGTATAAAAAATGTGTACAGGAAATATAGTGAATGCTAGCCAGAAAAATAACTAATGCTTGTCATGATTCAAGGATAAAAGTCAGGACGACCATATTTGCTTCAAATTTAAAAAAATTTAAATCACTTACAACCAAATTGGCTCTCCAGTTAATAGCAGTTTCTAATCTTGGTAGAAACTCTTGACTTATAGAACCTTTTGAAATGGAGTCTTGCTCCGCCTTTTCAAGTTTAATATGAACTTGATAGGCTTCGGAGTACCTGTAGCGCTGAAACACATAAATTTATAAGCCAGAAATGCTTTCTCATTTTCTTCAAAATTAAATATTATCGTCAGAAAGTTATGCGAAATTACACCGACATATTTGAAGAAAATAAATGAAGTTCATATTTATTTACACCAGGAATGGTAGCCCAATAGGAAAGTGAGGTATATATAAAGTCCACATCAATACTGAGGTTAACTACACATATTATGATCCATTAATTAGGCTTTAAAAACCAGATATCTAATCTATGCAAGAAAGAAGTAAAGATCAAGATTTATCATCCAAATCCCCTTACTTTCACTCCGCAAAAGATATGGATGACATGGCCATGAATACAAGATTATAAAAGGCGATCACCTCAAGAAAATCCAGGAAGCATGTTACACATTAAGCCAATAAAGGATCTGAATACGGCAAGGATATTGCCGGCAACTTTGGAAGGCAAATATTTGTTCTCTTCATACGGTGGATCTGGCAGGACAAGTAAGTAGGAACTACATTTGTCCTTGTATGGGGCATCAGTATTTGGCAAGCTAAGTTATGATGCTAGTAGATACTAAACAGAGATCAATGAGGAATTCTAGGATATGCTAAGCAAAATAGGTGGGAAATAGTGGTATATGCATGATATGGACCAGAACATAACATTATGGGCTAAAACTTATAAGTAACATTTACAAGATTCCAAAACTACAACTGAAAAGACCACAAGACAGACAGAACAACAATATCAATAAACCAGTAGCATCAATGTTGGATGTGGAACCAGCTATCCAAGTTAATTACCTGAATATAAAACACAACAAGCAGACTTCCAGTTGTCCTCAGCGGGTCTTCAATAGCATAATCCAAAAGACACTTGTGTATATATTTCTCTTCGTCAGAATTCCATGGCAATTCAAGCATTCGATCCACCAAGTTCCTCCTAATACAGAGGCAACAAATCTCAGTCACCAGGACCTCCACCCACGCCACCCAATTATTATATTGGCCTTTTAGTTTGTCAGAAGTATCCCCAGATGCTCCTTTATTGAAATTCTTTTCCTTCACTCTGGTGCAGAGATTTCTCTCATGCATAAATGCTTCAGTCAAAAGTCCACACTCAACCCTCACCCGCACTGCAGTGACAGCATCTCTGAGTGAAACCACGTGTGGTCCACCATCATGTCCAGCCCACCTCAAAACCATGAGAGCTGTATCAGGGCTACCCCTTTCTAACAGTACTTCAGCAATTTTTGGATGAGATGCCGGGCCAGAAATTTCAGGAAGAAGGCGACAAGCTTCCTAACAGAATAATAAATTATATTACACTAGAAGGAAAAAGAGCAGGTCCGCAATAACATCCAATATTACAAAATACAACAAAATCTATACCCAATGATTCCAAGCTTCAATTTAGCCCATTTCTTATATTGGGAAGGAGGGAATTCTTGGTGTTATCATTAAATACCACTGGTAAACTTGATACACATCCCGGATCCTTTACTTTGAGTGAAAACATGACTGCATGCCAATTCATTAAAAGGGAGAAAAACAAATAACCTGACTAACATCTAAAACTCAAGCCCCAATAAATTCTTACTGGTTTATTTTCAGGATCAAATATAAGATTCTAATATAATCAATGCCTATATAGTGCCTAGATTTTTTTTCCTGAATGAATATGATGCTTATCATTAGAGTAGACAAGAAATGAGACTCACTGAGCATAATATTATGTTGAAGTTACCTGTAAAGCCTCATCTGTGTGATCATCCAGAAGGAAAAAAGTCAAAGACTCGAGTAATGAGTGCCTGCTAATACTAAATGTAGCTGCAAAGTCCTCTAATATGTATCTCCATTCCTCATCCGGAATTGTCCAGTGGCGATCATACAAATAATACAGAAACTATAGAGGTTAAAGAAAGAAAGAAGTATTGCTCTAAATGATAACTATCACTGACACATCGAGAGTTCCACACCCACAATAAAAAGGTAAGGGTAAAAGGATACAATTGCTTGTTTTGCTATCACCATATCAGAACTTCCACGTAAAAAGAGTAAGTCAGCAGCAGCACGGAGATTTTTGAAGGGATAGTAACCCAGCGCCCGATCAGTGTTAGACCTGAAAATTGACGCTCCATCCTTCAGCAAGGATGCAACTTCAAATCCCTCTCCGACTTCATGTATAAACCCCTCATCCAAATCAAGATTATTCAATGCATCTTCGATAAATAAAGATCCATCATGTCCTGTTGACTCCACAGATTGATTTATTGCATCAGGCCAAGCACGTCTAATTGCTTCTGATTTCCGTTTGCGGACAACTGAAGCCCATGATGAGCTATCAGTAAAACGGGATCTCACATTCTCCAAAAATTGATGTCTTGTACACCAAACAATAATCTCCATATGCTGAGTAGAACAATTAAAACAACAAATTAATCACTAGAACGAAGATTTGCAATGAGCTACTCTATATTCTTCAGAATTCCATACTTCTGGGACAGAGGACGACACATATAGGAAGAGTATAACCTAACAGGCTTGACAAACAATATTAATGAAAGAGAAAGGACAAATATCAGCCACTTCTACAAACAGCCCTCTTACACACAATATAAAACACAGCGTGAACTTCTATAACAAAGTTTACCAATTGTCATCTACGCTTTTCAAGATTAGGGAATAAATCTCATCCAACAAAAACAGCCAACATCATTTGAAAAGAAATCATAGCTAGAAATACCATTAAAAAAAGATGATATCAACAAACTTTTATCATGATGCTTTTTACAGCACATCAGCCAAGCAAGAAACATTTCAAAAATCACATATCAAAGAAAAAAATGTAAGCATTTATACAATTACTCCATTCAACACAATCTTGCAAAATAAAACCTGCTTCGTCTTTAATATGCTCTCTTGGAGATGGTGCAAATCATGAAGTTGTGCTGAAAGAGTACCCTTAAAAGACGACTCCAAAATGTCTAGCACATTTGATATACCCTTCAAGTATAATGAGAATTTCAGAAGTATACTCAATCTCTCTTCCAATCCTAAAACGTCAAGATTATCTAGTAGATATTGTTAGGGAGCACAAATATTAATGTTTGATAAAAAGGTCATACTAAGAACTAGCTTGAGATACCAAAAATTAAGGTTTAAGGATACAAATTTCCTGTAATTCAGTTATGATGTTTTTGAATGTCCTCTTGCACCAATCCTTCACTACCACTTCATCCAACAAAAATGCTATGACAGGATCACTGGAAACAGCAGTTTCATCCATACATACATCTGTAATGTCTGTAAAATTCCTGTTCAGGAAAATGCAAAGTGGAGACAAAAGGGGACATGATAAAACAATAGAACAAATAAGAAACATGGGGGAAGGGGAAGAAAAAAATGAATTTGAAGTTTCTCTAAGGTGTTAACACTAATAAGACTAAATATTATAAAATACATTTTCTTACTGATTAAAAGGCATTAAAATTAAAAATTAAATATGCCAATGAATGAATGACTGATGTAGAAAAGGATACAATGGCAAATTAAAGAAACCAAGTTATTCTCAAGTGCAACATCAAACAAAGAATAAAGGCGTTGGACATCAGCAGTGAGTTGTTTCTCCCCATCTTCTATTTCTTGAAATCTCTCGTCCAACCTTTTGGAAATAAGGCCAGCTTCTATGCACTCATAATAAAGTCGGAGATGCAGTCTAGCACCACTCTTTGAAACTGGGATTCTACAAATTGGGCAAATATCGCACCGTTGACTACATTCTTCACATAAAGAGGCATGCCCACATGAATTCAGTACATGGTGGACATAGCGACCACAGCTTCTCAAGTCTCTAGTTGCACGGCAGCGCTCAACTTTGGCTTGTTTGCACAACTCAATCAGATCAATGGATGCCAAGTGTTCCAATGCATCCTAAAATCAAGCATGACAAGCCACTTATTTTCTTTTCTTTTCTCAATGCAGTAATTATTTATTTGACATATATCAAATGCTAACCTCTATTTAGCATCAGTAAAATGAAAATTAACTCGTATACAGCACAAATACAGGGTTTTTTTTTTATTTCTGAATCTGAGCTGGTATAATAATAATTCAGACTGAAATGTCAACCAAATGAAGCATTTGACATGGATAACAAGGAAGCAAGATTTATAAATATTTAAATTATGAATAGGTTCAGAACATGACAAATGCTCACTTTCTCACATTAATTCACAGCTTATTATCTCGGCTTAACAATTCCCCACAGTACATGCCCACGACAAATATCCAGACACAACCAGTAAGAACTTCGTAAAACAATAAATATGTTCACATTAAAGGACAGGTGTTCATTTGCTTAGTAGGCTTAGTTTACAAGAACTACTCACAGCTCTATAAATTTACTATAGTGATTACCGTTTGCAATATACAGTTCAAACCTGCCCCCTCGGCAAAACTCAATTGAAGTGGGTGGGAACTAGAATAGTGTAGTCAACAGGTTTAAAATTGTGTCCATATTAAAAGTGAACGATCTGTCCCATTTGAAATGGGAAAAGGAAAAAGTAAGCATACAAAAATTTCCAACCAAACAGTGTGTTAGTAATTAGCAGCTAGGGTTTACGATGTAGCTCGCAACAAGTAAGAGCAGCTGTTAAAATTGAGAGGAAGAGTACCTGAACTAGTTTGCTACTGTAGTTTGGTTGTAGTGTTGGGGATGAAGATCTTGTGCTGCCGGTGCCACCATTAGAGCTCGACGGAACGGTGAATCCGTTCAGCCTCCTATCCATTTCTCAGTGATAACTAAACCGTGAGATTTGTGCAAACACACAAATGAGGTGACAGATAACCAAATGGTGCAGATTAAACTTAATCGAAGAACCTCATCGATTGCTCTGAACGACTCTATTTTCTCGGAGAGGGAAACCCCCACAGATTGCAATTGAAGGGTTTTTGAAAGACTTTTCCCTTTTCTTTTTCTTTTTTTCAATCTTCTTTCCTACTCACTCGGTTGGTTCGGGTCGGGTCGGGTTCATTCAGAATAAAACATAGGCCGAAGAGTCACAACCCAATTTCGATAGATCTTAGGCCCAAGTTTCCAAGCGTTTGCTTTCTCTGTTTTTATTACTCCATTTCTTATAAATTCACGAGAAGTACGTCCTGGGTATTCAAAAATACCTATAATTGGTTTAAAACTTTAAGTCCCGAATTAGATTAGTATAGCGATGAATCGATTAGAATATCTTAAAAAAAAAAAAAAATCTCTTAACCGTGAATATCTAAGATTTCTTTTTTGGTGAGATTATCTCAAGCGTCAACTTTGCTTTTGCTATATTTCAAATTATCACTTCACTGTAAAAAAAATTATTCATATAGAACTTAATTTGTTAATTCAATTACACCTTTGATTAGTTATAAATAAAAGCCTAATGAAAGTCTATATTAAATAATATTTGACTTAAATATTTAAAAACAAATGGTTCGATTAAGCTTTTTTTATATTAATCATAATCAGTAAACGGATGTTCTTCAATATATTGAATAATATAAGGGTGTGTTTGGTAGAAGAGTTTTATTTTATTACCTGAGAAAGATCATATAGAATTCAAAGAAGACCATGTTTGATAGGGATTTTCAAAAAAAATTGTATCTCTAATATGACATTGTGTGTAAAATTTTATCTAGATTACCAGTTGAAAATACCACCCAGAGAGTGATATTTTGATTTGGCTAGAAAACAAAAAATTAGGGAGCGAAATTTGGACACAAAATTCTCTGAAATAAAGTGCCAAAAATGATACACAATAGTTACTTGAGTAATTTCAACCTTTTTTTTCAGCAATATTTTACCTTCAATTAAATATAGACTAGAAAAACTTAAATCAATTTTCTCGGTAATATTTTGACTTACCAAACAATTTTTTTTTAAGTTTCTCATAAAACTTATGTTTTCACTATATTCTCAGTAACTGTGATTATCTCATAATAAAAATTCTTTTCTGCGAAACACCCTCCGATGGAAATATTGACTGTCATTGTATCTGTGGTGCGCGTATTGTTGTTTCTTCTTCTTTTTTTCCTTTTTTTGGGAAATGAATTGATATGTATACTTGTAATATTGCACCAGTTATTTCACAGTGATAGTACGAATTCAGCATCAGTAATAGTCAACTTGAATAACCGTTGCAAATGAATACATAAAGATTTTCATTGCTTCAGCAGTTAGAATATTTTATTTCTATTATTATTATTATTATTATTATTATATCAGTACCAATGTTGAATAACCGATCATATTTTATTTCTATTAGTCCAATTTTTATATTGGAGCCAAGTAATAGAATTGGTGTAACCCGGTCGATTCAACTAGTGACCCGACTCGATTCATAAAAAAATCATAAAGTTTATCATTTTTTTTAATTCATAAATTATTTATTTATTTTTAAATATTTAAATGATTTGTTGCTTATTAACTTACTTAGATTATGTACCTACAACACTAATATTATCTAGGTTATAGAATATGCAAAGAATTTTGATTTAATTTATAATTATAAATATCATCTACTGAACATGAGAAATTGTATTACAAACATTATATATTTTTGTTGGATATTAATGTGTGATTTAATATTTTTATATTAAAATATTTAAAATTGGTATTATTTTTTTACTGATATTTGAATATGTTTTTAATATTTTTAATATAATTTGTAAATTTATATATACTTATCGAGTCATGCATTTGAACCAATAATTCATTCGTTGAACCAGTTATCCAATAACCTAATATCTAGAATTTAATAACATTAAATGTAGGGTAAGCAATTAATCAGAGGTAATCATAATCCTATATCTCAAAGGAGCAGATGGTCCGAAACTACGCGCTGTGCTTGCAAGCAATCCAATAATAAAAAATAAAAAAAAACCCAACTCTCTCACTTTCAATCAAAAGTTAATCTAAAGCAAATAAGCAATTGAGCCCCAATATGAACTATAATATGGTAATGCAAGTAGACCACGTTTTGTTTAGTTTTTTTTTCTAATAACAAGTAGACCACGTTTTACACCAACAAAAAGCTTCCCTAATTGCTCATTAAATCTGGACAGCAGGGGACACACCTGCAAATAGGTTCCCTGTTTATGCATTATTTAAAGCAACACGATGGCCCTCTCATGCTCACAGCAAGGCTCCTATCTTTGTTAACTAAATTTCGTGTGGGCCTTCCCCAGTATTTGGGGTCTATGAATCATCGTTGAATTTGTACAAGAGTTCAATGGAGAAAAGAAAGAAATCTTAGAAGTGAAAAGAAATTCGAACAAAATATAATAATTTATTTTATAATAAACATTGTTTCATCATGCTTCATATAATTACATAGAAACCTTTCATCATTTGAAGAATCAACGAGCGAAATGATTGGGTTAGTGTAAGCCAACGTTGATGTTATAATAAAGAAATCAGATACCTCCAGATCATGAAATTTATAAATAATCATTGCACCATCATGTGCCATAATACATATTCTCTGCCATACCCTCCATTTTTATATAAAACCTTTACCATCCAAAACATGCTTTAACCAAATATCATAACCTAAATTTATTTGATCGATCATGCTGTTTCCGATTATACCCTTCACTCCATGCTCGGGTAATAACGTTTTTTTAGAATAATCAACTATCAAGCATGGGTATTTATACACTTTGTTCTGTTTATAATTCCACAATACGATAAAGAGTCCCTACATCCCCCGCACGTGCAAACAAACAGGAACTGAATCATCGATTAACGATATAACCTAACCAAGTAAACGATTTGTTTAACCGTTAATCACATGATTACCAGCTCAGGGGGTCACATGGCCAGGTCTTTAAAATGCTAACATCGAAGCCAAGTTGGCGTTGCTACTGTTCCATGAAGGTGGTTGCACGTGCAGGTGTAGACACAATCACACACAATGTAACACCCCTTGGTTAAGAAAGTGAGAGGAAGGGGAAGGGGGTATTATTGGTATTACCATTATAAGAAAAGCAAGATATAATGATGATCAATGGATCATTATTTAGGAAAAGTGAGGTTTGACCGTTGACCAGATCAAGCCAAAAACATAGTAATTTTGACTGAAAGTGCACGTGGGATAGACATTCTACACGTGTGCTTCGCTGTCCGTCGGAATCAATTGGACATGGAGAATGGTGCGCCAAGTAGGATCCTCGTGGGTTGCCCACACCTCGAGGTGAGAAGGAGAACGCTGCTGCATTTGCAACCATGCCAACACTCATCTTTCTTTCTATATTCGATGTATAATGTCTTTTGTTTTTGGCCTATCATTAGTGATATTTTTTATGAAAACAATAACATTTAGTCTTAAGAGAAGACAAGAAAGTAAGAACGTGTTTTGGATCAACAACTGTAAGAATAGTTTTCCTTAATGTTAATGTGAGAGTGCATCATCCTTGAGATTAACTTAATTCTAGTTAATACAAATTTTAGATTACCGATATCTTGCCAAATAACTTTTGGAACATTTGACGTAGGAGATATTTATTTTTAGGTAAGTTACGAAAAGGTATTTGGTAGGTCAATTTTTTTTTGAAAAATTGAGTTAATTTTACTGATGCTATGTTTGGTTGGATTATAAAATTTTGATGAAAATCTGAACTGAAATGACAAAATTATCCATTTTTACACATATGTTGATATATTGTATAAGGGCATTTTTGTCTCAAAATGTGAAAATGCATTTTCTAATTGGTGGAAAAAAATAATATCATGGGTGGAATGAGATTGTTTGTTTTTCATATGTAGTTAAAAATGGAAATGATTGGGGAAAAAGTATCCTCAAATTTTTTTACTTTTACTCGTACTAAACATGGTAAAAAAATTTCCCCACCCCATTTTTCCAACATTACAACCAAAAAAATTATACCAAACACCTCCTAACAAAAAATAGGTTAGGGTACAAATAAAGTTGGTGGGACTAGGTTTCAAAATCAAGTAATATCCAACGAAACATAGTACAACTTAACTCCTTATTATTTATTTTATTTTATTTTTAACATTTAAATAGACTTGAGTTATATTCGTGAGCATTAATACGTTAATACTATATTCTTAGAACTTTTTTCATTTCAATAGGTAAAATTTTAAACATATCAATTTATTCAAGTGCTAAACTAAGGGTGTAAATAGATTAGGCTTTGACTTAAATAGTTCAAGCCTGTATAAAAATCCTTTGGATTGCCTGACCTTTAAGCCTATGTAGGCCCAGATTACAAGTCTGGTCTGAGCTGTATTTAAAAAATAAAAGCCTTAACCTAGATTTGTTAGCCTGTTTAAACCTATTAAACATACAATAATTAAAAAGTAACCAAAATAATATTACTTTGTTATTCAAATTTATTAAAATAATTATTTTATTTATTTTATTTATTTTATTTAATATAAATAATATGATATTGGCTGTCATGTAGGCTTATAGGTCCGACAAGTACAAAAAAAGGCTATGACCTACTTTTCAAATAGTTTTTTTAAAAGCCTAAACCTGTTCTATTTGACTATTCATAATAGGTAAAGTCTAGCCTAATATAGGCTAAGCCGTAGGCCCCTATAGGTCGACCAACTCATTTACACCCCTATGCTAAACCCTTTTGAATTTAATATCATATCTCATTTTATTAAAAATATATATGAGAGTTAAAATTATCTCATTATTTAACTTGTATTAATAAATTTAATATTTTTGTATTTTGTTCTGGACCAGTCTTCACTGCCCAACATATTGGACTGACATACAAAAGTTCATTTAAGGGTCACACCCCTACCTTCTCATAGTGAGTATATGGGACTAGAGAATCCATCGCTCCCTGCATAGCTTACTAGGTACATATAGTGATGTTCACCCTCACTCACAACAACAAGGTAAATGGCTAA